TAGCTACAAAAATATATAAAAAGCATAAAAAATATATAAAGGCCGAGTCCTTTCATTTCACATCTCCTATTTTCAATGCAGCGAACGGTGCGGATCTTCTAATTTCTGAAACAGGCGGCAAGCCTATTAAATAAAAAAATTTATATATGTAAATATATATATATTATATCAAATTATTGTTATTTGTGATAAAAAAGAAAAACGTGTTTTTTATTTTGAAAAAAAAAAAAGTTTTCTTAGAGGTCGCGCTGGTCGGTTTTTAATAAAAACGCTGATATTCTCATTTTTTTCATTTTCTTGACATGTTACATTTTCGGGAACTAGGTCCATTCTAACTGTCCAAGACAGGTGTGTAATTTAGGGAATGTTCCCCAATAATACCAGAGTAATTATATGCAAATAAAATTATAGTTCAAAAAACTAAAACCTCCCTATTATAATTGCCATTCGTACTGTCATCAGGTATGTACCTTGAGAATAGAAATCGCTGCATCTTTTAGGCGCATCAATATTACATAGTTACATCCGAGCTAATAAAAGGAAGGTAATAATAAAAACACATTTTTAGCTGCATTTTAACATGTCAAAAAACAAAAAAAATTAGAACATCACCGTTTTTATAAAAAACCGACCAGCGCGACCTCTAAAAATAAAAAAGTACGTGTCTCTTTTTTATCACAAATAACAAAATTCTGAAGTAGCGTTTATGAATTTCCAGAAAAGTGTGTTTTTATGAACCACTCTATATATATATTATATTATATATATATATATATATATATATATTGCACATCTGGAGACCCAAGTCCTTTCATTTAACGCGTAAATTTTTTGCGCATATCTTATAACTTTTAGCACAGCCCTGCAGGAAATTGAATTAGTTTGAAAGTAATTTATAAACTACTTTATTTTCAATTAGTAATTCTCACTATTTAACCTGCAACGAACTCATTTATTTAACATGGCGACGTCCTAGGAAGCAGTTAATTGCCTTTTCCTGCATGTAGTTTCAACTACTTTAAAATAAATTCGGCTTAAACAACTTCAAAGTCAGTATGATTCGTTTGAATACGCTTTCGTCCTGCATTTCACAGATGCTTTTTCATAACTACGAAAAACCGAAATTAAAAATTTAAAATTAAATGAGATTTGAACATGGACATTCTTGGCTGCGACCAATTTTAGCAAACATCTTTGCACCCTCAGGTTCAGCCAGACATGTAAATGTGCTTTCAAATGTTCAGTTTGAATTGTGTGCAAGCAGCAAGTCGACGGTCCGACTCTGCATTTAATTTCAACTGTCCTTAAATGAATTTGGTTTACACAACTTTAAAGTCAGTATGTTTCTTTTGAATACGCCTGCGTTGGACTTCACAGATGCTTTCAAAATTCCAAGGCACGAATTGTTTTTTTTAGCAAAAAGAGTATAAAAATTCGAAACATTGCATTTGTTTTATAGTCTTTCAATTAGTTGATAAAAAAAAAAAAATCACTTGTTTCCGTCAGGGAGGTGACAACACTCTTCTAAAAAATAAGACCTTGTTGCACATCTGAAGGCCAAGACGTTTCATTTGACGCCTCATTTTGGAAATTTGAAAGAACTGTGCAAATCTGTATGTGTATGAGATACTAGTTTTTAAATAGGCGGTGACCTTACTAAAAAAATAAAGACTTATTTCACATCTGGATCAAAACCTGATGTCATTAACAAAAAATGCTTCCACGTGTAATATCTAAGGTAATAATTTATAAATAGGGGGCAACGCCAATAAAAAAATAAAAGCTTATATCCTCTGAATGTATACCTAATTTTTCAGTCGAACGAACATTGAATATCTTATAATTTGTCAAAAAATTGCAACCCTGCTCAAAAAAAATATCAGTATTCCCCGCTTGCACTTCAAAAATTTTACAAGTTTTGTTTCAATTAACCGGGGAATCAATGAAGCATTGATATCTCTTTCTGATGGCACATTTTAACCAATAATGCGGGGAACCCAATTAACAGGGGGTCAATTAAGCGAGGAATACTGTACATTATTTACTAGAGGCCAACTCATTTTATTTGACACCTAATATTTTGTAAGAAATGATGAGAAAGATAATACCCCTTTTGATACAGATTGTCATAAAAAAAAAATCTCGTCTGATTCCATTCAGTAGTTTTCAAGATTAGTGTGTTCCAAGAATATCGACTTTCCTTTATACTACAAATTTAATAGTTCAGTTTTCCGTCTTTTCAGGTAGTTTTATTTTTTAGTTAGGTTTAAAACACATCAATAAAATAGGAATGCTTTTAAATGAAATTTAATGCATTTTAAATAAAGGGCACGAAATAACAATTTTGAAATATTATGGTTCAAACGACCACTGTCCGTCTTTCTAATGCCAAACAGGCAACAAAGTATCTCTGCGCGTAACATTCTTAAATAAATTCAAAAAGGGTGTTTAGTGCATCGGGTATCATTTATGTATATATGTGGAAAATAGAATTAGTTTGTTGCCCATTAATGCAGAAAATCTTCTTTTAGCAGTATCCAACCGGATAGTTGGAAAACCCAAAGACGGCCGGACAAATCGGATTCCGGATGTCTAGCGGATAACCGGCACATGCCTAATTTTAATCAAATAAAAGTCTCAAGCGCGACTTTAGTTGCTGGGAATATTGCTTCTCCTAGTTGTTTGCGCCGTGTTGGCTCACGTCTTTCGGCAGTTTTTCAAATTCAATTGCCTCTGTTGTCCGCGGCAGCACAGCTGCGTATACTTGTGCGCCCATTGATGTGTCAAAACGAAAGATTGCCGAAAGGAGCAACAACCATCCGATTTATGTTGCACGTTACAAAAATTATTACTTTCGGTTTCTCGTTGCGGGAAAAGTTTTTACTGTCTAAAGTTTTCACTGCTTTTTTGAACACTGCGCCATTGACAAGAAACCACAAAACGTGTGGATCATAGATGAAAAACTTTCAATTGCTGCNTGTCAAAACGAAAGATTGCCGAAAGGAGCAACAACCATCCGATTTATGTTTCACGTTACAAAAATTATTACTTTCGGTTTCTCGTTGCGGGAAAAGTTTTTACTGTCTAAAGTTTTCACTACTTTTTTTGAACACTGCGCCATTGACAAGAAACCACAAAACGTGTGGATCATAGATGAAAAACTTTCAATTGCTGCAACTTAATGTGTAGCCTCACAAAAAATCCTCATATCCTCTTAGTTCGTTCCTCAACTTTTCTGGCAAAAATCTGAAAAGTGTCAAAATGTAAGAACGTGAGAAAAATGTGTCCCCTAAAATTAGCTATGTATTTCAAACATAAAATATTCATTAAAAATGGAAAATACGAATAATAATAATGAGGAAAGTGGAATAATCCCGGCATTTTTGCAATGTTGCCTGACTGTCGTAGAAGAAACGAAAAAAGTGTAAATTTGTGTGAAACNATGAGGAAAGTGGAATAATCCCGGCATTTTTGCAATGTTGCCTGACTGTCATAGAAGAAACGAAAAAAGTGCAAATTTGTGTGAAAGATTTTCTAGAAGATTTTCTGAAAATCTTGTAAGACTTCAAGCGTTTATCTTTTTGAGATATCTTTTTAATTTATTTTATTAAACTTTCCAGATATTATATCATTCGTTATACTACTACTACTGTATTTTTAAACATATTCAGGCTTTCACCTGATACCATTATTATGAAAGCAATAGCTTTATACTACAGTTTAGTGGGGAGATTCTGTAACGAGCAGTGCAGGGACTTTACCATTTAATTGGTAGGTATACCAACTTTTTGGCTGTACTATATCTTCTACCATTTTTACCAACAAAGGCTCAAAATCTACCGCTAAAAAGAGATTTAAATGAACGCAGTGTATGTATATTTTGTCATCGAACACACCTAAAATAAAAGTAAAAAGTTAACTCCNCGAGCAGTGCAGGGACTTTACCATTTAATTGGTAGGTATACCAACTTTTTAGCTGTACTATATCTTCTACCATTTTTACCAACAAAGGCTCAAAATCTACCGCTATTTTCCGGAAATAAAAAAGAGATTTAAATGAACGCAGTGTATGTATATTTTGTCATCGAACACACCTAAAATAAAAGTAAAAAGTTAACTCTGACCATAACCAATTTAAAAGTGAAATTGCATCTTTATCAGCTGTTTATGCATGTAAATATTTTTCGTTTGCAATACGTTTTTTATAAATTAAAATTTTAATATAATTAATAATTAAAAAACTTTGAAATGGAGATATGTAATTGTTTGAGTTCTTGTTTAAATTAATACAGGGCCCGAATTACGGAATACGTGATGGAATTAAATCCGAATCGAAAATCTTTTTGAGATAATCTCAATGAGATTACGGCATTTGATGGCGAGCTCGCTTTTTCAATTTATATTGTATTTGGGAGAAAACAGCTATAATTTTATTTCATTCGATTCGAGTCGAGTTTCATTCGACCACGAATGCCATGATTCGGCCCAGTATTATTTATATTTATATTTTTTTGGTGAATGTTTTATTGGCATGAAATTAATTTTTTGTTCTTTTATAAAAAAAGACAATTATCCCAACGTTATAGCAGGAATACAGAAACAAAAATTACACCAACTAAGTATGCATAATTAAGTAAGAATTACACATATATCATTTTGACATTGAGAACCACCGAGGCGAAAACTCAGCTGCCCCGATAACACCACCTTATTTCTTTTAAAAAAATCTACCAACTTCTACAATTTTTTGTATTTTAAATCTACCAATAATCTACTTATTTCTTTTAAAAAATCTAACAACTTCTACCATTTTTTGTATGTAAAATCTACACATATAAATTTTTTCGAAGTCCGTGCACTTGTAACGAGTTAGCTTGTTAACTTTGTCGACCTTCATCAAACACGCCGCAACGTTGTGATAGCAATCCGAAATGGTCGCTAAATCGTTACAACATATCCTCCCAGGTGTAGGTAATGTAGTAACAAAGTTCTTTACTTACCTTTTTTTCTGATGACTGTCAAATGCGATATTAGCCGGTACATCCAGTTCCAGATCCTCAACATCATCAATGGCTTTGGCAATAGCTTGAAATTTTCGCGCGGAACAACGATTGCCTCCATTGTCGGCGCCATATGCACGCTCCGCTAAATTATTGGCCAACACTCCGTTAAAGTCGTCTATGGCAGAGAAAATTTCTGCTCCCACAAAGCAGCGCGACAACGATGCGCTTACAGTGAACAGGAGCAAAAAGTGGCGTATCACATCAACAACCGGTGGAGTGCCAGCAGTTTGGCCTGGCACCATTTTAGAAGGATCGACCTCCGTAATTTCAGCGCAAAAGTTCAAATTAGTTGCAACCCTCTGTTCGCAAATGTAATTTACGCACTTTGTGGATCAGTAAAATTGCATTTAGGCACTGGTTTCACAAAAAGGCAAATTAAAATGCCGATTTTTTCCGCATCAGCAAACAATAAAGCAGAGTTTCTGCAGGATTAGTGCAGCGAATTTCAAAGCTAGCATTTGCCTTCAATTAGATAAGTGTGTGCTCATGTTAGTGGAGATGTGTGCATGTGTCCATCGCTTTAATTGCCAACAATTGATTTGGTAGCTGTCAAATGGTGGCGTTGTCCATTTTTTGACAACTTCTTTTGTTGGGAATGAATTACAGGCAGTTAACGAGAATCAAATGCGTCTCTGCAATTTTCTCTCTTCCCCTACAGCTTTTTTTTTGTCAAAGTAACGACTCATGATTATTCCCCGAATTGTTAGATTAACTAATTGGCTCCACATGCAAATTGGTTTCGCAAGTTCAAATTGCCCAAAAGATTTAATTGGCTCTTTTCGTTTTAATTGGCAAATTTGGAATTTTGTTGCAACGAAGGGAGGACAAAAGTGGAAAGTGCAAGTGGAGTATTTTATTTAACATGCAAAAAACACAAATTCAATTTGAATTTTGATTTGGATTAATTCACTAAATTTTCGAAGAATAAAATTTCTGTAGAATTTAACAGTTTTGAAAAGAATTTTGCGGAGTTCCACTGGAAATCTGGGATTACACGCTTTGTACATTTGTACAGATTTGTACATTTTGGCAGTCAGAGAGTGGTATTGTCTACATATTTGTATCGAACTCAATCAGCTCAATAAAAAAATTTCAAAACAACCCCACACTGTTGCCAACAAAATGTACATATCTGTACAAATATAGAAATCGAATCGTGTGATCCCTGCTTAAGGGTTAATTTTTAAGACAATTTTGCATTTTACAAAACTGCAAAAACGGTTGTGTATTTTTTATACCCGAGCGCACCCGAGGGTCACAAGGGTACAATAACTTTGCTCACAATGATGTCAGCTTTTGTCCTTATGAAGACATCCACCAGCCGGGCAGAGGCACCTTCCCCATTAAGGGTTTGGATATTCCAGATGCATGCCCTCAAATTCAATTTAAACGTTTGCCGTGGTCGTAATCAAAAGAGACGGTCTTATCCGAGGCCTCTGGAAGCAGTTTTTACGTGGCGGGTCCTAAGCCCAGCGGGGCGGGGTAGTTTCCCAAACGAATACACGTTTATATAGCGAGCAGCTTACTCCAAGACACTCGCCCCTTTAAACAGAAGAATTCGTAGTGGCCTCACCGAAGCTCCTTCTCTTTTTGCTGTGCCCCAAGGCTCCACTCGGTTTGTTTCCGGCATCTCACACATGAGTACACGAACGACGACCGAGATCTGCCACTTTTTTGAGCATCTACCACTCAAGGTCTGAAATGTACCCCATATTCGCATTTTTGAGTAGTTTTATTTTTGCTTGATATAATTTTCTTAATTTTACACGATATGGTAACAAGAATGATATAATTCAAGATTCCGCATTCCCGGCGACGATGAAATTTCTTAAGTAAAAGTAAACAAAGCCGAATGGGAGGATGAAATAAACTGTAAAATAGTAAATTTTCTCAGTAATCAATTTTTTGACAGGAAACGCCACTATATATATGATTTATAAAAAGAATTAATAATAGCGAAAATGTTAAAAACCGGCGATTTTTGTGAAAGTATTAGTAAATTTAAGTGCATATAAGGTTTCTGAGGCGTTGTTTACTTTTTCTTTCTGTTTCTGGAACGTGCCATATTTGTTCGCTACTTCGTGATGTGGTAAAAAGAAAAGCTGGAAGTACTCCGCAAGGTTGCAGAAATCTCTTAAAATATGTTCAAAAATATCTTAATATGGAAGGAACTGCTTTACACTGTGAAGGAAAAAAATTGCCAAAACTCAACGCAATTTTTAGCAACTTCAATGTTACACTTTATTATACTAAAATACAATTTTTTTAGAGTCTGATTAAAAAGTTTGCCTTTTAGGTGAAATCTTGCAGAATTTTTTTAATTTTTCTACAAAGTTTGATTCAAATCCAGAGATCTACCACATTTTTTTTAAATCTACCACATTTTTGCCCAGATTCTACCACACAGAATTTTTTTAAAGTCCGATTACTGACGAGGACGCAAGAGTCGGGATTTAGTATAGCCGTGCAGCTTACTCCAAGACACTCACCCCTTGCAGCCGCACCTGCTGGTGAATATACGCTACAGACCTCAGTGAACCTTTAAACAGAAGAATTCGGAGTGGCCTCACCGAAGTTCCTTCTCTTTTTGCTGTGCCCCAAGGCTCCACTCGGTTTATTTCCGGCATCTCGCACATGAGTGCACGAACGCCGCGCAGGAGTCGGGATTGAGTATAGCCGTGCAACTGTTACTACATTCCCAGTGACAACACCACATTGCACCGCAGCGCGCCGCTTTACCAACCCCTTCCAAACTCGGTACAAATATTGTTTAGGATTTAACACAGGGACTCGCTTAAAATTTTTGAAATCGGCCATTAACCATGCCCACCTCCGTTACTACGGTAAATTTCAGAACTTTCCATTTCTCTGAGGATAAAGTCGAATAACTCATTAAATAAAAAACTTAGAATGTGCTTTTGTTTTGTAACTCTCTAAATAAATGAGTGCACCACTAAAACAGGTGACTGAAGCTTTATGTTTCCTTTAAATCAATGTACATGAAGGAATCATCTTGCTGTACATTTGCATTAAAATTTAAAACTTGGATATTTAATAATTGGCTGAGAGTTCCACGTTTTCGTCGAAGGCTTCAGCTAAAAAATTTGAAACCATAAACTGTAAATTTCAGAGATGCTTTAAACTTCGATATTCCGAAATTTAAGCACACTTATTTACTCAAAATTTATACTCACAATAAGCCCTTGAAAAGAAGTAACATTACTATGGAATTGGGCGTGATACCGCCCACTTTTAACTATGTAAGTTTATTTCATTAAGTCTGACTGAAGATACTAGCGAAGATGAATGAAATACTTGTTTATATCTGCCTTTCTGATTGCCTTTTAAAGCCTCTTTACTTTTGCCTTTGTCGTTGTTTCTTTTGTTATCCACATATGTGTATACTCATCAGTACCATTATCTTTGCCTATATCGTTGTCTTTGCCTTTTTTATCTCCTCCGCCGGTGCGTCCAACGCAATCGTTCGTTTTCTGCCCACGCATTCACGTTTAAACTTCTAAAGATATATCACCAGAAAATACTGAAAATTCGCTTAAGATAATATGCTCTTTAAAATACAATAAAATTCAATTTTTATATACAGTACTAGCAGACCCGGCGAACTTCGATCAGCCCAAAATTCATTTTTTTATCAAAACATGTTCACCAACTATTAACGTTGACAACATCCAGTGGCACATTTATCTGCTCCACTTATGGTTTTGTGGTCGACGGAAGGTATATCTTCCATTGCAGTATTAAATAACCTAACGAAAGCATTATATCCGTGAAGAGGTTCTTGCGATTCTCCAATGATCTGGCGTTTGAAACCACGGTTAATACCACAACTGTGGGTTTGTTGTATTTCGTTCAATTATTAGATATTATAATTGATATTGTAATGAAGTTCATTGGCAAAGGATGACGAAAAGTTCTAATTAAGCTTCAACGAGTACAAAATGCTTAATTTATTACTAACTTAATTTTAATTTAACTAACGAACAATGTTTTATATTTGTTTTACCTAATGGAGTTGTTATAAATCAATACTTTCAATTAATTAACAACTAAGCGATGAACAATATTTCTCGTCAATCTTTCTTTGTTAAAACAAATAGATTCGATGGTTTTCCAACACGTGAGCATGCAACATATAGCTGTCCATTGGAGAAACATGGATTCTCTAAGTCCAAGCTGCAAATAGACATTGTCTGCCCTTGCGACGTATTTATTGTGATCGCGAAAGCCAAGCGTATCGGAAATTGTAGCCTCTTGTAAGGTATTGTAGATTCTGATGGTATCATAGGTATTCGAGGTAACAGGACGACTTCTCCTTTAAACTTTGCAGTCAGTATCATTGCTTCAAGCACGTTTCCGGTAATTCGTGTACCTTTGCATGGCTTTGGTGGATTTAAGTTGCGCAAAAGAATGACTGGTGAATCAATTTTCAGTCGAAGTTTGTGTGGCGGCATTCCAAGATCTATACATACAGTATTGGACATATCTATAGCACCCCCCTTTCAAAGCGATATTGTTTGCCACTTATGNGAAATCGGTTGACGTGGTCCAAAGTTATGCGGTAACATACATAAAAAAAAAAAATAAAAAAAAAATATTCCGACGAACTGATAACCTCCTCCTTTTTTGGAAGTCGGTTAATAAATAAACATGAGTGGCAAACAATATCACTTTGAAATGGGGGTGCTATTGTATTGGCCAATACTGTATATAAACCTTGGCGACATTCCTGACATATCCAGAGAATTCAAAAATTCAATCGGAAAATTGACGGTCTCGTTTTCATCAATAGTGGTGTCGATTGACTTAAAATTCATCAGATTGTCTGGCAACGAATTTTGTATTTGACTGTTAAGTTCGTTAACATCAACATTTTTTGCTGCTAAAATTACACGAATATCTGGAAATACACTATCAATTAGTTCGTTTTTTTTTAATTAACAACAGAGCAGAAGTTGGCTGGTAATTCGATACATTGCGTATTTGGATGCAGTTCGATTTTACCGTTACCAATATCCAGTAATTGATTAGAAAATACTCGTACCAATGGATTATTATGCAATTGTACTCGCATGTTTATCGCCAATCGAATTGTTTCAACGTTTTTCCATTTTAATGATTGTTTCAAACATGCGCTAATCTCATCAGTAGAGCTGTAACACTATCGATAGTCATCCCAAAATTTTAAAATGCATTGACGAAGCTATTTATATAAACTTTTTAGTTTTATTTCGTTCCTGAAGAATTAGCTAATTGTTATATAGCGATTTTCAGTAATTTTGTCCTTTCTCTTTGATTTTTAAAATATTTTAAACATATATTATAAAAACCTAAAATTCCCAATCGTAGAAAAACAAATTGCTTGTAAACGTAAAGAAAACTGTATGTATTACAAAAAACTTTCATCAGT